TATTATTTTTCTCTATTTTCTGAACTTCTGATCATCAGCTAACTCAAGTTTTTATTACTGTGCTTCGATTCTTAGTTGCTAAAAAACGAAGACTCTACTCATAAAGAAGATAAACTAACTGTTAACGTTAACAGCTGAATAAACAATCTGGATGATAAGACCACCACATTTTTAAATGTTCCTTACGTTTATAATTTCTTTGAAACGAAAGAAATATAAAAATGTCAAATAACGTTTACATTAGCATTACATAGAAAAACGAAGTATCAATGAGCAGTAGGTGCTGGCAACAGGCAAAATTGTTGTTAATTCATTTTGAATAGATCTTGTTTAAAAAAAGCGTTATACTACTCTGAAGCTCTTAATCTGTTGTCAGTGACAGACGAATTAATACTCAACTCTCCTATATTATATTATGTCTCTCAGAAATCACGCATTAGAAAATGTATAATACCGAACTGTTCACTGTGAATGTGTGTGGGGGAGGGGGAGGGGGAGAGGAGGGAATATAGTTTCATTTTAAAGTTTATTGCTTCCCCAAAAAAATCTAAGTTGCGCCGTCAATGTATGTAGGTAACGAGAAGACACTCACACTTCCACTAATACCCTGAAATAAGAGTTTTATATTAACAACTTTTACACGCGTAAGAAAAATATATATATTTTATTTTAACAACGATCGGAATCAATATTTGAATAATTTTGTTTAAAAACAAATCACTTTGCGACAACTATATTATCAATCAAAAATTGTGCATTCGTATCATTGACAACAAATTCTAAGCCAATAACAGGAGATAACAATGGAAGAGATATTGTCTGTACAGCAGTTACATATTCTGTTGAACTTAATTTAAATATTCTTTTGCTAAGAGCAGGTAATACATGTACGATAAAAGAATCAAATGTTTCATTTTCATACCATAGTAATACTGTTAAATTATCTACTTGTCCTTCAGGTGTACGACCAATCATAAATCTTATACTAGATCCATTGATTGAATTTTGTAAATTAATTGCATACTTACCAACTAGATTTTCAACTGGTTGTAAGATTAACATTGCCGAACGATAAACGTTTACATAAACTGAACCCCACAATAATAAGTTTGTCGCATTGATTGTTGAACCAGTGATTGTTCCGAGAGTAACATCATAATTTTCAAAATCAGCAATGACAATTTCGTTTGAATCTTGAAATGTTGATATATAATTCGTATGATGTAAATAAGTTAATCCAGCACGATAATCTTCAAATAATATACGATATTGCATTTTATTTTTGAGAACAATATTCATTAAAGCAGCCATATACATTTTACATATATGTTGTTGACGTTCAATTGTCATTATTGGACGAACATTCATTAATTGATTTACTCCAGGCATAAGATCATATCGTCCCCAATTTGTATTAAATTGTCCATGATTAGCTTGATGTACATATAATGATGCTTTAAAATTATAATTGCTACTATTTGATGTAAATTGTAAATTTTTTAATTTAGCTTGAAATAAAAATGATGATAAATCTCCATCATAAATACCATGAATACCAAACATTGTTACATCATGTGATTCAAGACTGTGTCCTAATGGTGTATAACCATCATCTGTACCACTAATAGAAAATAATGCTTTTATTCCAAAATTATAATTATTTAATGATATTGATGTTGGATAATCAGGTAAATATTTTAATTTATTTAACATATAGGCAATAACAATTGTTTCACCACCAACTGAATGACCCATCAAACCAATATTAGACAAATCTAGTTGATTATAAAATTGATTTTTTTCTTGTGTATTCCATAAGCATAATTGTTTTAATGTTTCTAATATAATGAGTGCTCGTGCAATGAATTGGGATCGTCTACTAAAACTGACATCATATTTTTTTATTTTTGACATTCGACCATATCCAGTTCCAGAATAGAGTGGAGCAACATTCAAAAAATTTTCATCAATTGAAACAGCTAGAAAACCTTGACTAGCAAGCATTGTACCCAAATATTCATAACCAGGTTCACTTGATTCTGTCGATATATGATTACCATGTACCATTAGAACAATTGGATATGGACCATTGCTTATATTAGTCGGATACCATATTTGACCATTCAATGGAAGAGCCGATTCATTATATTTAAAATATTGCTTATTAAATGATGATAATGTAATTATTGAAGATAAATCAATGGTTGGTGTTATAATTGATGCTTTCGAACCATATTCAATTCGATTATCGAAACCACTTCCATATGTAAGAAATCCGTAAGAATAATTTCCATTTAACGATGGATCATTTGTTAGATTATGTGGAAATCTTTCCGATGGAATTATAATGTCTATTTTCATAGTATAACCATCAATCAAGTAATACCATAGTATAAGACAAACTCCTACACATCCGATCGCAGCTAGTACAGAACAAATGATTTTCACTGTTTTTGAATGATAAAGAATAGCTCCAACAATACCACCAACAAGTAGTGTATGACTCAATGCTAGTGCAAGCCCAAGTCCAAAACCGGAAAGTGCAGAATTTATCGTCACAGCTACTATTAACATAAATAATGAGCATATCAAAAAGCTTCCAATAAAAAATGATGCTGTTCCATATGATAATTGTTGACGAATTGAATAAGATTTTTTCCAGAGAAAACTAATTGCAATAATTAAAATATATACTATAAGTGTTATTATCCAAATAATTGTTGACATATAAATAAGAAATACAACGAATGTTGCAAATGAACTATAGCCTAAATTAAGTGGTGACATAACTGATGCTGATAATAGAAGTGTTAAGACTGTTAAACCAATACTTATTGCATTGACTATACAATTTCCAATATTCTTTTTCTTAGATTGTGATGATTCGATATTTTGCTTCTTTAGTTTCATCCATAATCGTATGGAAAAGATACAGATAACAAGAAAAATTGCAACTGTACTTATTATAATTAATGCTAATAATTGTATTGTTAGACTTCGCATAATGACTAGAACTATTATCATTATTATTAATATAAGAAAACAGATTCCAATCAAAACAATATCTTTAATAGTTGTTGATAATTTTTTTCTAGATGCATTTTCACCGTCATTATCATCATCAATTTTCAGTTCTATAACTTTGGTTGACATGATACAACAATATACTCGTTGAACAGGAAATTTATTGTAATCTAATATAGGAAATATTTCGTTGAACTAATAAATATTTAAATGAAAGAAGAAACAAGACCAAAAATCACGCGCTTACTACTATCATGATACAAAAGATACAATGAAAA